TTGATATTAAGTTGACCTGAAGCTTCAGAATCATGAACCGATGTGTGTGTGAGTGTGTGTGTGTGTATTAGTTTAAACTGAGAGTAAAAGAATTAGGACCTTGTAAAATGCCCATGGACTTCAACTCCTTGTTCCTGAGAGTGCTGGCCTAGAAATAGTTAGGTGTCTGTTTGCAACATGCACAAGGCGACCCAGAGCTGAGTGCCTCCTGCTTACGTCAAGAATGCAGATGCCCAGGCCCGTGTGGTGGGCGGCCGCCGGGACCCCTCCCCAGCATCCTGCGGTCCGGGACCCGCGCTGGGAAGCTGTGGAATTAAGGTAGAGACGCGACCAGCCGACTCTGCTTTGGTTCCAGAGAGAAAGCTGTTTCTAGAAAATGGCATTCTTTGAAGCTACGTTGTTATTTTGAAAGATACCAAAGGGCCCTGGCAAAGACGAGGTTTTCAGGTTGCCGCACCCTCGGATGTGAAAGCAGGACCAGGTGAGAGGCTGTGCACCCACGCCCCACACGCTGCCCCCCCCATGCCCCCTCTGTAAACAGAGGCTGAGTCTGCAAATCATTTGGGGCCTTTTAGGAACTTTACGGCTCACCCTCAAGTTTAGTTTATTTGACTAACTTTGGTAGATTTCTGGTTGGAGAAAATGAAAGGTACCTATCATTAATTTCTGGGCTAGTTCATTCATCCATGTTCCCAAGGGGTTTGCTCTCCTCTGGAGCAAACGTTGTTACACCGAAGGTCACCTGCAGGGAGATGACTCACCAAGGGCTCCTCTCCACTTGCTTGGCGGGTCCGCAGGGAAGAAGCCCTCACGGAGGCCCCGCAGCATCCCTCCCTGCACCCTTCTTCAGCTGCTCGCTTCGCATCCTTTCTGCAAGGCCTCATCTAGGTGAATGAACCCTCTGATCACTAAGCGGTCCGCATGTGCTGGTGTTTCGGTTCTCCACAATGGAAGCTGGTCTGAGAGAATTCTGCCCACCCAAAGGGGAGGTAGGAGGTGCAGAGAGGAGTTCTGATGGCCTTGGGAGTTCTGCCCTGCCTGAACGTGGATCATAAGCCAGAAAGGTAAATTCCCTCTTGCTCCAGCTAGCCTGATTGGGATTTCGATTACTCGCAAACTGAGTCAGCTCAGCTACTTCTAAAAACTTGTAACTGAAACTCATTTTCCTTCTATGGAAGCCCCCATTTCTAACCATCTCCTTGAGTCACATTTTTTTCCTGTGAATTCCCATGTACATAGATGAATAAAAAAAATCTTTTTCTCTTAAAAAAAATTTCCCCTCAAACAAGTATTGTACATGAGCATGCTAATTCTTTTGAATAAAAAATTTATTTTGTGACTCAAGTAAGCACTTTCAAACTTATCGTCTATACAAATAGGGTATTAGGTTTTCTTATAATACACCAGTGTTGTCATATACAATGGAGGGAGTAACAGTAAAATACAGTGCAGGCAGTTCTTCTCAATTTGCCAATTCACTGAATAATTCGAATGAAAGGTATAGTAGTCACATAGAAAGAATTAAGTATTTTATTTTCAATAATAAAAATATTATACCCACTATTATATAACAAAATGTAATTGACTATTCGCTTAAGTGATAAAACAGTTAATAAACTGATTTAGGTTATAATCAGAAGAACATGAGTGTAAATCTGTAGGAAGACAGGTATTTTCAAAATAAAATTCCAGTGAAGGGCTAAACATTCTCAAACATAAAGAGTACAACAAGAATAAATGGTGTCTGTTTAACATGTTTTTGCTTTAGTGTCCGGAAAGCCACAAATTTGATAAACATATAGTAAAGCCAAAGTTTTCTGGACGTGAGTTATGTGATATTTGTTCAGAAACGATGCCAACCATATCGACAGAGCATCGCAGGGGTGGGGGGGAGCGCTCGCCCATGCTGACTCGGTTAAGTAACAGGCAGAGGCGGTGATGGAGGCGGCTGGAGGCCGGGAACGGGAGGGAAGCTCACATCACTCACAGCACAGCTACAGAGGAAAAAGCTGAGCCGGGCATAACCCAGGCAGGGACACGTTCTCTGCAGCTCGGGATTTTTATTTTTAGAGTGTTCTGAGACAAATTCCAGCAAGATGTCTGGTTTGAGCCAAGCCTTTCTTCTTGAACTTGACTTCTCAACTGAGGTACTTGGCATACTTAAGGGAAAAAATGAATACACTCAGATTTCCTTTTGTTAGATATTAAGCTAGAAAAGCAGCTGAAGGAATAAGAACAAGCCAGAAATCAAAATGCTGTTTCCTGTAAAACACCGTACAGACAGACAGGTTTTGCTTATTAATGGAACAGGAAAGGAGGGAGAATTGGAGTTGAGGCTCTTTAAACAAGCAAAGGGCAGGGGAGAGGAGTGTAGGAATGCAGAGGCACCCCCCCCCAAGAATGGAAAGGAAACCCAGATTCTGTCCATTTGATGTCCTGCTTTGGGCATTTGTAGCAAAGGCACCTGTGCCTAGAGGAGTACATTTGCAGTATCCAGCTCTGGTTAATTTCCCAGGTGCTACCACATGGGTTAGCTGGGAGTTGTGCCAGGCATCTTCCCCCTTCTGAAATTAGGCTAAGGCCTAAGTTCCTAAGCGATCAGAATCCCTCGGAACCAGGCTAGTCAGGAAGCTGTCCCACTGTGTCCAGTCCCAGCGTGCTTCCGCTGGTCACAGAAGTTGGGGCCAGCCAGCAGGGGGAAGAGTATGCTTGTATTTCTGGCTCATATGCTTTTCAAAAAAAGTCATTTGACCAAACAAAGGGAACACAGTCCCAAACCTTCCTAACCTCCATATATGCATGCAACCCAAGCCACCAAAAGGCGAGTTCATTGTTCCCGAGGTTGCGGGTACAGGGAGTCTGTTCTGTAATGCAAAAGACTACACACCAAAATCCAAGGCCCAAATTAAGTGACTGCTGCAGCCCACTATAAACCAGTAGGAATGCCATTTATACTTCTGGCAGATCAGAGTGCCACCCCACTGAATGTTATTTAAAAAATATTTTATCAGGAAGTAAGGTCACTTTGCTTGTTTTTAACCTGTACAAGTTAGTGTTTGCTTTGAAACATAATTGCATACGGTGCTTTTTCTCTCGGGGATTCTTTTAATTTTGGAGGCATGTCTGTGTTCCAGGCCCTTTCTCCAAGCTCTTACTAACCATAGTTCTATCTATATTAAGTAGTTGCAAATGTGGTCTTAATGAGATGTCATTTACTTAAATCTGTAATACTTAAGGCGACTGCTCAACGTGCAGTATTTTCTGGGGATCCTTCTCTGAAAGGGGAAGCACAAATGGCTACAGTATTTTATGAAGCAGTTGAGATAATTTGGGGTTTTTTTTTTAAAGATTTTATTTTATTTATTTGACAGAGAGAGAGAGAGAGAGCACAAGCAGAGGAAACAGGAGAGGGAGAAGCAGTCTCCCCACTGAGCAGGGGGCCTGATGTGGGGCTCGATCCCAGGACCCTAGAATCATGACCTGAGCCAAAGGCAGAGGCTCAACAGACTGAGCCACCCAGGTGCCCCGATAATTCTGGATCAAGTTGAAGACAAATCATTATTCACTTTGAAACTGATACCACTAATGCCAAAGAACTTGATTTTCAGGCTCATCTGGAGTTCAGAAGCTTTGTGCTAAACATAAAAAAAAAAAAAAAAGACAATGACTTAAATTTTCTGAAGTTTAGAAACGACATCCAAAGGACAAAGGTAACTTTTTTGCCAGTGAGGTTAGAACAGTGACAATGGATGATTTATCCTACCAATTCGATCAACAAGTGCCTTTGTGGTTTCTCCACTGTACCGGATTATGTGCACATGCGTGTATGCGGAGAAAGACAAAAAACAGGCTCTCCATGTCCTCGTTTTTAAAATGCGTATTCTCTCCCACGCCAGTCATTCAAATAACATGACAATGTGCTCCTCTAAAAGAACCCCAGCTGTATCTAGGGATTTATTTGTTTTAAAAAATATAAGTAAGGTAGGTACAGGAATGTCTTTAACAACCAAAGGAATTGACCTTAAGATGATAACCTGGAATGACAATTCTCTAATTTTAAAGCCTGCAGTCCAAGCTTGTAATGCGCAAAGGCATATTCATTCAAGACTTCTGTAAGAAGTGCATACACTATCTAAATATTGCTGAAGGAAAACTGAGTGCCTCTCTTATATACAAAGCAGATGAAGACCAGAAGCAAGTAGAGCTTGTCCCACAAACCGAAGCAGATTTCCATGCCAAGACTTAGCAAGTTTCATAGGCAGGCAATGCTGCCTGTGGAGTATGGTTACAGTTCTCGAGCCGGGGGGGGGGGGCGACACGAAGTGAGAGGGTGGGAGAGAAATCTAGCACTCTGAGAGGTAAAAAGAGAGTCCCCATTTGTAATGAGTACAAAACTTGATTAGGCGACAAGATTTTCTGGCTGGAAGGCACAAGAAAAATAACCGTGACAGTAACTTACTAAGACAATGGAAATTAAGGGAAAAATAATTGCTTTAGGGGGACAGTACAGGTGACTCATTAGGACATCAACCCACTGGGGCTGAAACACAGCACCCTAACGTGGGGACTGGCCGAGGGGAAGGACTGGGTCAGAGGGACAGAGGGTTTGGTGCTCTTGATTTAGTTTCAGTGACTGTTCAGCACTTGGTGAAGCCGTTGTGCCTTTTAAATGGAGACCCCCAAAATCCTCTATGTGACAGAAGACTGAAAATTGTAGAGAGTTATATAAACATTTACTGTTGATATGTCCCACAGGTTAGACCAAGTTCACTGGTCTGGCTGAGTGGGGTCTCCGGGTTTCGTCCACCACCACTCAGCGGTACAGAGGCAACTAAACAGAAAAGACGAAAGGAATCATTACTTCTTTCCTTGGTTATATGTCCATAATCTGCATAAAATAAATAACACATGTTAAGTCAATACTAGGGTTAAAATTTGGAAATGAGGGGGGAAAAGAGGCAGAGCAATCTGGTATTCTTAAGGCAAAACAATAGGGATCTCTTTAAGTAGACACTTTATTATATCCACAGGCGATAAAATCCCAGAGCTACTGTTAGGCACGTAAATACAGATCCTGTAAGAAGAAAAAAAAAATGAGCATAGTATTAGTTGTGTTAACAGTTACTTAAAGGACAACTTTTTATTAAGAAAACATACAGGTGCTGATCCACCTATCCACCAAACAGAGAAACAAACACAAGAAACTCAGGTCACCTGATGGGCCACATTCCACGAGACACCTGCCCACTAAAAAACTCTGTTCCTTGCAATCATCGTCTTCAAAGCAGGACTGTATCCAACATTCAACAAAACTTCTCAATGAATGTCAGAAATTCTGTGATCCCTCTTTTGGCTCAAAAATTGCAAAACCAAAATAACTCCTTACAAGGAGTGTCACCAACTGAAGCAGAAAGATCACAACTTGAAAGCCTTTCATTCCATCCATAAAATATCATCTTGAATTTCACTAAAAAAAAAATTCTAAGTAACTACAGTTCAATGGCAGGATCTTATAAAACTTAAGATTCCACCAGTTGTAAAGCACATCATTTTACTACTAAGGAAAAAAAACTACCGATTACTGTATGATATTTGATCTACCGGAAATCATAACCTGCCTTCTAATTTCAGGGATGTTAAAATGTGAAAAAAATGTGTTAGAATCAATGAAACGCAGTATCTTTCTTTGACTTATTTTCCAAATTTCATTTATTTTCTGCTTGTTTGAACTATCTAGACACAAAAGAGCTTACCTGCTAAATATTTAATGTTATCGAGCTTGTGTGACTCCAGCATGGTTTTGAGGCCAGCGACCTCGGTGTCTATCTTCCTGTCCGTCTGGGTGACAGCACGGTCCTGCTGGGCGTGCTTTTAGAACAAAGAGGTTCACAGCATTAAACCACCTGGGATCCGCCTGCCGTCCCCTCGGCTCCCACCGTCCTACAGGCCCTCCCCTGCCAGGGAAAGATGGGGTACGATTAAGGAGACGTGGGCTTTAGCTTTAGTTCTACCATTCTCACGTTATGTTGCGTTGGTCAGGGCCTTTAATATCTCTGGGCCTGTTTACTTTAATTTGAAAAAAGCAAAAAAACTCAACAAAACCCAAAAACAAACACACACCACTGGCCCTGCCTTCACACAGGACAATCAAATGTGATAATGTATGTAAAGCTTCTGTAGATGATAGATCGCTCTACAAATCAAGGTTCAAGTTAAAAGGCAGTCTGTTCTCAAAGACTATAAAGGTACCTCATCTTTCTAAGTTCCTCTCGATGAGAGGTATACAAAAACTGCTTTAAAAAGTGAACACAGGGACGTCTGGGTGGCTCAGTCTGTTGAGAAGTATGAGCGTCTGCCTTCGGCTCAGGTCATGGTCCAATGATCCTGGGATTGAGCCCCGCATGGGGCTCCCTGCTCATCAGTAAGTCTGCTTCTCCCTCCACCTGCCACTCCCCGTGCTTGTGTTCCCTCTCTCTGACAAATAAATAAAATCTTAAAAAAAAAAAATGAAAATAAAAAGTGAATGCAATCTTAAGATATTCTAAAAGCAACAGTGTTTGCCTTGACACAATTCCTATTCACATTTTAAGGTTTTCTTCTTTCATAGTTCCCAAACACCAAGTATTTTATTAGTATGAGGCTTGGTTATACCAAAGGCCTATTTGTGTTCTTTTCCAAATATAATACAGTTAAACTACATACATAACCAACCCCTAAGGGTGGTGAGTTTGGCTGATGTTATAAAGGGGTTGTAATATTTCATTAATGCATAAAAATAATTCACTAAATATCCTAGGACAAGTAAGTACAATTGACCCTTCAACAATGTGGGTTTGAAGTGCATGGGTCCACTTATACCTGATTTGTTTCGATATGGTACAGTACTATAAATGTATTTTCTCTTTATGATTTTAATAACATTTTGTCTCTAGCTTACTTTGTTTTAGTGTACAATACACATAACTTAACAAAATACGTGTTAACTGTTTACATTATCAGGAAGGCTTCCGGTCAACAGTAGGCTATTAGTAGTTAAGTTCCTGGGGAGTTGAAAATTATATGCAGATTTTTGACTATGGGGGAGGGTCTCTAACCTCCCTATTGTTCAAGGATCACTTGTATGTAGTTCCTTATGGCTAACAATCCTGGTAATGAATAAGGATGAGTAGAAAAGTATTCCAGAGGAATATTCTACTATTCTCTGAGGTAAGTGTCTTCCAAGTTTTGGAGGTCCCAAGTAATAGAAGATGGAAAAAAAGTATAGCAGGTCGTAAGTCCGAAAAATAATTTAAAAAACCACCATTCCTTATTATTCTTCAATCACTGGAATTTAAACTTTCATTAAGATAAACAAATATTCTATTAAGTGCCAAAAAAATTCTAGGATCCTCCACTTCTGAGTACCTACCCCCGGACTACTGAAAACAAGGAGTCCACAGATATTGGTACAACCGTGCTCACAGCAGCATTAGTCACAACGGCCAAAAGATGAAGGCAACCCACGCATCCACTGACAGGATAATCCAAATGTGGTCAACCCGTAAAATGGAATGTTATTCAGCCTTAAAAAGGAGGGAACTTCTGACAGGCTATAGCATGGATGAACCTTAAGGACATTAAGCTGAGCGAAAGAAGCCAGTCACAGGACAAATCCGGTATGAGTCCACTTCTATGAGGTCCCTGGAGCAGGCACACTCACAGGGACCGAAAGCAGAATGGCGGCAGCCAGGGGTTGGGGTAGAAGGAATGCAAGTGAGCGTGGGACAGGTAGTTTCAGGTTTACCAGATGTAAGGAGTCCTGCGGATGGACGCCCGTGATGGTTATACGAGGATGTGAATGTACTTAATGCCACTGAACCACGTTCACTTAAAAATGGTTCAACTGGTAATTTTATGTGTACTTTACCACAACGGAAAAAAACATAACACCCTAGGACACAAAACTTGAGCGTCCCCTCCCATTAACACATCATTACAAGGGACAGTAAGCATGCATGGGATGAAGCCAAGATGAACACAGTGACCAAGAAAAGTAGTCTCATTTCTTACCAATGCCACCATTTCTGTCCTCATTTCCAGCAGCTTCCTTTCATTCAACGAGTACTGAAACAAACAAACGTGTAACATAGGTCAGATTCCGATTTATTCCTTCCTCCCTCTCCTTCTCTGATGCCTCCAGTGTTCTGTACTTCCAAGGATACAGGACACTAGACATCACCTCTGGAATCCAGTAGCCTACTTGCCCCTCTCCTTTAGATGTGTTTTCTGAAGTTTCTCACTTCTAGCCCCCTCACTGCTCCAGTATAGGAGTCCCTTTGTCACCCTTCTCCTCTCTCTTCTGCTCTTGTCACCTGCTCGCTTTGAGGCCATTTGGCCCCTCCCACTAGTGTAACAGCGTTTCCTGGGGACCAACTTGCATGGCTGTTGAGTCCATATGCTTTTTGGCTTTGAGAAGGTTGAAAAAAGTGGGGAACAATTTCGTTTGGGAGCTAACCCATCGCAATCACAAAACTGGTCACTACCTGAGGCTTAGACAAAGTTAGGAACGTTATAAAGTTGAGGAAAAAAAAGTTTCAAGGAATATTTTATGTGACATAGACATTGCCTAAAGATAAATTATAAATACACCGGTACAAGAAATGCACTAAACCATCACATGTTGGTTTTAATTAAACAACAACAATCCACTTGGGTGTGTCACAATCCAGTAGTCCTAAAGGAACTGACTAGCACTACTCAGAATCAAAATGGTATCTTGCCTTAATGTTTATGCAAAGATTTAATGCAATTTTGTTGAACTGAGACCAAAATCAGACATCTTCTTAGCAGTGGGCATTAGGATTTAACTGAGCAAATGAAAATCTATAATTTAAATGAAAAATTAGCATTTAATTCTTCACTAAATTAACACTGTGAGAGCAGAGAAAATTAATGCTTAAATATCTAGAAACTTTCTAGCTATAAAATGTTCCCCTGGAACTACCAGGGGACTAGACTATAAAAACAGTATTGCTCAGAAATTAAAAAAATTTTTTTTTAATTTTTTACAAAATTGGGGGAAAAAAAACCCAAAACCCCAAACCAAGAACTAGTCCAGGACCAAAGAACGCTCCTCTCCGTCTTTAAATGACAGGGTTTCAGATGAGGAAAGAGCTATGCATCGAATGGCCACAAGAGGGCAGGGCGGACTGGATTTTTCTACACACCCTTAGACTCCCGTCTTCACCAAGTCAGTATTGACTCGTCCACAAGGGAAAAGAAAAGCCTAAATCCTGACACTGCTGTGATTTTTAAAATCACACCTATGTGAGTCCATCTCCCTGCACCCCCCCAAGCGGCTTACAGGCCATACTGCTCTGAACTGGCTGTAAGCACCACCAGTTATAGAACTTAAACAGAACTGTATTCAGCAAGGAGAGGGAAGGTCACATAACTCCTCTTTACCAATGCACACGGAATACGTACTGCTGTCCTGTCCTTCAGAGTTTAGGATGACCAAGAACCACTTCTCAGCTAGGTTAGTAAATCCCATCAATTCACTGGCTCTCACCCATGTTCATCAGTCCCACATCCTCCTTAACTATGGGCATCTTCCTAAATCAAGTGCATTCAGATTTTTTGCTAAGTACACAACCCATAAGGATGCTCCTCCTTGGGGAAGGGGGTGGGGGGATGGAGTAACTGGGTGATGGACATTAAGGAGCGCACGTGATGTAACGAGCACTGGGAAATATATAAGACTGATGAATCACTGAACTCTACCCCTGAAACTAGTAATAAACTATATGTTAATTAACTGAATTTAAATTTTAAAAAAATGTTAATATGGTTAAAAAAGAATATTTTAGACGAATTTGAATTTAAAATTCTAAATAACAGTGCTATGCAGAGCCATCCTGACACCCAAGGCAAGAGGAAAAATTAGTAATTAGCTTAAAGTTTGGGTATTTCATCTGTCCGAGATTTTATGTTAATTTAAATATTTTACTACTGCATTAAAATATTATTCACCCTAATTTAAAAAAGTTTCTCCCTTTCTAGAGACTAATCATACGCTAGCAACTGTTAAATATTTTAGTGACACTAGATGAATTAATCTTTATGGTCGAAAAGTGTTTTTTGAGGGACACCTGGGTGGCTCAGTCCATTAAACATCTGCCTTCGGCTCAGGTCATGATCCCAGGGTCCTGGGATTGAGCCCCGCAGCATCAGCATCGGGTTCCCTGCTCAGCGGGGAGCCTGCTTCTCCCTCTGCCTCTGCCTGCAGCTCCCCCTGCTTGTGCTCTGTCAAATAAATAAAATCTTTAAAAAAAAAAAAAAGTGGTTTTTGAGACAAGAAAGACAGGTGACATGGGAATAATGATTTTGTACAACAAAGCTCCGCTTAACTCTTGAAATCCAGAGGTGGTTCCAAAATAGAGTTAAGTACTTGTCTGAATTTCAGTATTAGCTTCATTTATCATTGCAGCACATTCTGGTTAAAAGCAAACTGAAAAATCAGAAGACAATGAAAAATTGTGCATACTCAGTTTCTACACGTGTATCCAGTTCCGTGTTAGTAAAAGACGCTTCACATGGCCTATTTCTCATTATTCTAATAAAGAAGGTATCTAACTATTGCTATCAAATTCAAATAAAGCCTGAACAAGAAAATAGATGGGTTAAAAGTCACTAGCGGCAACTCAACATTATTTTTATTAGAACATCCATATTCATCGAAGCATTATTTGCAATCGCTGAGACACGGAAGATGTAATAAGTGTCCACTGATGGATGAAGGGATGAAGAAAATGTGGTGCACATATATACCTGAATATGACTCAGCCATAAAAAAGGAGGAAATCCTGCCATTTGTGATAACATGGATGGACCTTGAGTAATTACACTAAGTGAAATAAGAGAAAGACAAATACTGTACAATCTCTCTTATGTGTGGAATCTAAAATCTAAAACCCCCCCAAAACCAAAAAGAATCCCCCAAAAACCTGAGTTCACAGATACAAAGAACAGGATGGTGGTTGCCAAAGGTGGGAGCTGTGGGGTGGGTGAAATGGGTCAAAAGGTACAAACTTACAGCTGTAAAGTAAGTTAAGCCCTAGGATGTAATGCAGGGCACGGAGACTACAGTGAATACCACACTGTCTATCTGAAAGTTGCTAAGGGAATAAATCTTAAAAGTTCTCATCACAAGAAAAAAATTTTGTATCTGTGTGATGACAGACGGTAACCAGACTGACGGTGGCGCCCATTCCGCAGTGTATGCAAGTATCAAATCATTATGCTCTGTGCCTGAAATTAATGTAATGCTGTATACGTCAATTATAACTGAATAAAATAAAGAATTGAAAAAAAAGTGTTGCTGTGCAAACTCTGAGGGGAAAAAATAGTACTTCTATTTATTATTTTTTAAAAAGCAAGGACAGCAGAACGGTGTCTGCACGGCTTTCCTGGGTCCTGTACATGATCCCACAGGGGCAAGTACCCTTCCGCTTGCTTACTTACAACCTGTATTTCTGAGATCTTTTTTTTTTTTAAGATTTTTATTTATTTCAGAGAGAGAGAACACACATGAGCAGGGGTAAGGGGCAGTGGGAGAGGGAGAAGCAGGCTTCCCGCCGAGCAGGGAGCCCGATGCGGGGCTCGATCCCAGGACCCTGGGACCACGACCTGAGCCGAAGGCAGACACTCAACCGACTGAGCCACCCAGGTGCCCCTCCTGAGATCTTTTTGGTAACAAATGTACAGAAGTACTTTTCCTAATTAAAAATTTCAATTTAATATAACTTAAAAAATTGTTTCGAATTTGCATTTCAAAACAATGTAATCAAGTCATTAAGATTTCTCTATTTAAAATTTAAAAAAGACTATATGGAAATATTTTTTTAATCTTGAATTTCAGTGTAGAATTTAATTTGGTATTATTCAAGACAGATGATCAACTTAACTTCTGAAATATCTGGACCTGTGGAGGTTTAAGTTAGATGACATAGGGTGAGACTGGGTTTGATTTCTTTTGTAATGTCTAAGTAACACATAATTTAGACTCTCTCTCTCTGAAATAAAATGAGATTCAAACTTGATTTGACCAAGAGTTTAGTTTGTTTTTTTTAACATTTTATTTATTTATTTGACAGAGAGAGAGACAGCAAGAGAGGGAACACAAGCTGGGGGAGTGGGAGAGGGAGAAGCAGGCCTCCCGCCAAGCAGGGAGCCCGATGCGGGGCTCGATCCCAGGACCCTGAGATCATGACCTGAGCCGAAGGCAGACGCTTAAAGGACTGAGCCCCCCAGGAATCCCGAGTTTAATTTTTTTTTAAATTTTTTTAAAGGTTTTATTTTTAAGTAATCTCTACACAATGTGGGGCTTGAACTTGAACTCATTACCTCAAGATCAAGAGTCACACACACTCTGGCGACTGAACCAGCCAGGCGCCTCCCAAGATTTTCATTTTATTTTTGAAAGCATCAAATTTAAGCTCTAAGCCAGAATACAATTATAGGGAAAACTGTCTAACAATGACGCACAGGTAAATGTTTAACAGTACTGGTGAACTGTCTATATACTCAGACCGGACCGAGCATTCCATCCTGCAAAGAGATGAATTCACACTCTGTTTATAATAAAGGAACATACCAACTCCTTCACTCTGCTCTTTTCTAGATTGAAGTCTAACTTGGTATCTGTTCGGACTTTGACCACTTCATCCTGGCAGGAGGGCAAACAAAGAGAGAAAGAAATCCAAAGTGAGAAATGGAAACCCTCCTGGGATGTGAAGCCTGGGACTTCTCAGTCATATATACAAATAATCCCTGCTTATGCTCATGTCAGTCCAGAGTGGGTTACTGCTGCTTTTAACCTCGAGATTCCCAGTGAACTCTCCTTATGGAATTTATGACTGAAGCTGTTCCCTGGACAACTCTGGAAAGCAGAGATGGACTCAAAGAAGGAAAATATGAAATTCTGGCTTAAATAAAGCCTTCTTTCTTACACTTGTCAGAACCTTTTCTTCCTTAACATCCATGTCCTTTCCACTTAAAAAAAAAAAAAAGAAATCGAACAGCTGCTACTAGTCAGCATTTTGAAATCACATGAAATTCTCTAAAGCCAGTCTGTTCTAACAAAACCTAAAGGCTCCATATGGGGCAACTTCAACACTTTTTAATTTAAAGATGACTTCATTCATCCTAGAACACAATTTTCTTAATGAATTTGGTTACAGACATCACCAACTTATTCACTGACTATTCTCAGCTAAATCTTTCAGTGCGTACTTTCGAGACATATTACACAACTATTTAACATAGGATTACGTTTTTAAGAACACCTAAAGAATTTCTGACATTGTATTTATTACTATGTTTACGTAACCGCCAACAAGCATGCAAAGAGGAGTGAGGGTCTCACCATTATTTGTTGTTTTAACCGATGTAGTTCCACGTTTATCTTCTAAAAACACATTAAAAAAAAAACAACACGAAAACAAGTCAAGGATATGGCTAGAAGGTTAGAAAAAAATACATAAAACTTGGTAATAAACATACATTAGAACATGTTTTTGCGCACAGTTCTAGCTGCATTCAGAATGAAACATGAGCTGAAAAGTCTTAGGAGCAGACATGATTATCTGTCATGCCAGGACGGTATTACAACATGCGCCTACTGGGACAACTGGGTGGCTCAGTTGTTAAGCGTCTGCTTTGGCTCAGGTCATGATCCCAGGGTCCTGGGATTGAGCCCCACGTCGGGCTTCCTGCTCAAGGGGAGTCTTGCTTCTCCCTCTCCCACTCCCCCTGCTTGTGTTCCCTCTCTCGCTGTCTCTCTCTCTCTCTCTCTAATAAATAAATTAAAAATCTTAAAACAAAAAACAAAAAACAACACATGCGCCTATCCTGAGATCAGTTTTAATTCATCCGAAAGGTTACATAAAATCAGTAACACAGTTTAATTTTTTTTTAAGTAGGCTCTCCAGCGTGGAGCCCTATGCGGAGTTTGAACTCCGCATGACCCTGAGATAAGACCTGAGCCAAGATCAAGAGTTGGACGCTTACTCACTGAGCCACCCAGGCGCCCCAGTAACACAATTGTTTTTAACATACACGTTTGCCTCCAGAGGCCCTGCTGTCTTTAATACCTCCTTCAATTTTTCTTTTAACAAATTCTGCCTTCAAATAGCCAATTTCAAGGGCAAATGTGAGTTTCAAACTACTCTTTTCTAGCAAAAGGAATCTTTTGCTAGAAGGCCTCTCACAGGACTAAGACGAACTGCTAATAAATGAACTTCCTTTATGAGACTTTAGCTAGGACTGGAAATAAAAGGAAGGATGCAAACATAGCACTTACTTCAATGCTGAACCCTATGCCACACTTTTTTTTTTTAATTTTATTTTATTATGTCAGTCACCATACACTACATCATTAGTTTTTGATGTAGTGATCCACGATTCATTGTTTTCGTATAACACCCAGTGCTCCATGCAGTACACGCCCTCAATACCCATCACCGGGCTAACCTACCCCCCACCACCCTCCCCTCTAAAATCCTCATTTTGTTTCTTAAGAGTCCATAGTCTCTCATGGTTCGTCTCCCCCTCCGATTTCCACTTCATTTTTCTCTTCCTTCTCCTAATGTCCTCCATGCTATTCCTTATGTTCCACAAATAAGTGAAACCATATGATAATTATTTTCTCTGCCTGACTTATTTCACTTAGCATAATCTCCTCCAGTTCCATCCATGCTGATGTAAAAGTTGGGTATTCATCCTTTCTGATGGCTGAGTAATATTCCACTGTGTATATGGACCACATCTTCTTTATCCATTCATCTGTTGAAGGGCATCTCAGCTCTTTCCACAGTTTGGCTATTGCGGACATTGCTGCTATGAACATTGGGGTGCATATGGTCCTTCTTCTCACTACATCTGTGTCTTTGTGGTAAATACCCAGGAGTGCAATTGCTGGGTCAAAGGGTAGCTCTATTTTTAACTTTTTGAGGAACCTCCACACTGTTTTCCAAAGTGGCTGCACCAACTTGCATTCCCACCAACAGTGTAAGAGGGTTCCCCTTTCTCCACAACCTCTCCAACATTTGTTGTTTCTTGCCTTGTCAATTTTTCTATGCCACACTTTAGAAACCAAGGGATACATCTGCAATGTTGTGGATGGAACTAGAGGATATTAGGCTAAGTGAAGTAAGTTCATCAGAGAAAGACAAATACCATAATTTCACTCATATGTGGAATTTAAGAAACAAAACAGATGAACACAGGGGAAGGGAAGAAAAAATACAATAAGATAACAACAGAGAGGGAGGCAAACCATAAGAGATTCTTAATCATAGGGAACAAACTGAGGGTTGCTGGAGGGGAAGGGGGTGGGGGGATGGGGTAACTGGGTGATGGGCATTAAGGAAGGGACTTGATGTAATGAGCACTGGGTGTTATATATAAGTAATGAATCACTAAATTCTACCCCTGAAACTCATAATATACTATGTTAACTAAATTGAATTAAAAAATAAAAGACAAGAAACCAAGGGATATTTTGCAGCAGCACTTTGTGATAACCAAAAGCTGGAAACAATTCTAATATGCAGTTGGCCCTTGAACAACGCAGGGGGCTAGGGGCATTGTTCCTGCCCAGTTAAAAATCTCCATACATAACTTTTGACTCCCCGAAAACTCAACTACTAATAGCCCACCGTTGACCAGAAGCCTTACCGGTAACATGACACATATTTTGAATGTTATGTGTTACACACCATCTTCTCAGAATAAAGTAAGCCAGAGAAAATGTTATTAAGAAACTCATAAGGAAGAGAAAACATTTACTGAACTGTGTAAGTGGACCTGTTCAGTTCAAACTCGTGTTGTTCAGGGGTCAAGTGTACATCACAGCAGAAAAATGTGGCACATTCATATACTACTACCGACAATGAGCAAGACTGATCTACGGTTAAGACGCACCACAGGATTCCCCCAGATGAAGTTCTGGAAAAGGCAAAACCGGTCAACGGTGATGCAGGTCAGGATAGCGGTCTTCCTGTCAGGGGATTAGCAAGCTTCTGGGGTGCCAGTAATACTCTACTTCGTGACCTGCTGGTGGGCACTTGGTGAGAACACATCTAACTTGTGCCCTTTTGTCTGTGCATTTATGTCTCAGTGTCTCGATAGTGAGCATCTTAATATGACTGGCTCTTTAGTTTTACCTCATTTTCTGCTCTGAGGGCTGAAAATTCGCTCTTCTCCAAAATAATCATATCTTTTTTCACGTTAGCAATCTGAGACATTATTTGCTGTACGGTGATCTCCTAGAAAAAGAAAAACAAAACATATAGCCTAGGCTGGCCTAGGATGTCTGCCTCTTACCCGGAATCATCTTAGTGAGAAACCAGGAGAATATGAACACGAGAAGAGAGGTTCAGCAAGGTCATCCTCTATTCCAGAATGAAGAAAGGAAAAGAATAAAGACTCCAGACCAGTATCATCATCAAGTGAGCCAGTTCAAAGGGTGGCAGTCTGAGGACCAGCAGCTCAAGAATGCACTGCTGTAATTCCAGCCACATCTCCCTTTGTTAAGTATGGTGAACTGGATGGAATAGGTCATTTTCAAGCGTAGTTGAGTTTTCCAACATGAATCTGCAACAGTTGACAAAATAGCTTCAAAAAGAGAAAAAATATATATATATATTTTTTAAAGTAAGCTCCATGCCCAGTGAGGAGCCCAACGTGGGGCTTGAATTCACAACCCTGAGATCAAGACCTAAGCTGAGATTGAGTCGGATGGTTAACCGACTGAGCCACGCAGGTGCCCCCCGAATAAATTACTTTTTATAACACTGGAATCCTTTGTCTCTCAACTACGGTTAAAAGTACTATATGCTTTTTGGGACGCCTGGGTGGCTCAGTCGGTTAAACATCTGCCTTTGGTTTGGGTCGTGATCTCAGGGTCCTGGGATTGAGTCCTGCATCGGGCTCCCTGCTCGGCAAGGAGTCTGCTTCTCCCTCTGCCCCTCCCCCTGCTTGTGTTCTCTCTCTCTCAAATAAAGAAAATCTTTAAAAAAAGTACTATATGCTTTTCAATGGAGTATTATCCAAAAATACATATTACAAATAACATCCCAGCTTTAGACTTTAAATTTGCTACCATTCCCCGACAAAGCTAACCTGCTGCATCTTGGTGACCATATCCTTGTAGACAATATCCATGTTGGCGTCCGTGATCTTGACCAATGCAGAGACAGTGATTTCTGCTTGCTGGGTGGAGAACCCTAAGCAAACACACAAAGATAATCACACTCTGGAGACTCCATTTGTTGGGGAAAAAAGAGAAAAAACCCTTCACAGAAGGGGAGAAAATGTTTGAATTCAGAAAGACTGGAGTCCCAGGCTATGATGTGTCTGTCACTCTGGATAAGCATGACATATCTGTTTTTTCATGTAAAGATAAAGGGCCGGGCTGGTGTCCTCTACCGTCCTACCTAGCTGCAAAAAGTCCTATTTCCTGAGAATGTCTCATGACGTAGAGGAAGCCTGCAATGTGGGGGTCAAGGAAAGGAAAGCAAGATCAAAATTACAGATGCAATTTACTGTAACTTAACAAAGATTCTAAGTAATCTTTATTTCCTTCCCCCTGGCCTAAATCTTCCAAAATAACGTGCTTTCCTTATTTATTTTTTTATTATTATGTTAATCACCATACACGTGATTTCCTTATTTTAAAATGTACACGTTAGTAAGGAATAATTTACTTAAGTAGGAAAGCTCAGTTATTTCACATCCAGCATAAAGCCATCAAATCATTGACCATATAAAGATAACTAGTAATTTAGCTGTTAATTTATCTGATGTTAAAAGGCAAAATCCATTCTTTTATTTTTCCTCCTCAAGTCTCTTCGATCACTTGCACAGAGGGGATGAGGCTGGAAAAAAAATATATTCTTTGATACTCAGTAAATGATGCTGAATTGAAAGATCTAACTCAGCAGTGTTACTACTTTCAATAACTTTAGATAGTACTACCTGGAAAGCTAATAATACCCTATATGTTAATTAACTGAATTTAAATTAAAAAATAAAAAAATAAAATTGTTAATAAAAAAATAACTTTAGATAGTAATTTATATTTCACATTGGAAATTCTAATAAAATGCTTGAAACCAAGTCCCTGGAAAGTAATTTTTTTCCATTAAATACTTCCATCCATAAGAACTACAGAAGAATCTACTGATTCTAGTAATTAAAGGCACATTTGTTTGAATAAAACTGTAACTGATACAATTTGGACAAGATTAAGCACAGACTATAATTTTTTTAAATTTTATTGAGAAAGTGAGTTCACACGTGCGCACACATACACGAGTGGGGGGGGGAGGGGCAGAGGAGAGGGGTAAAGAGAATCTCAAGCAGACTCCCTGCTGAGCATGGAGCCTGGAACTCAATCTCAAGACCCTGAGATCATAACCTGAGCCAAAATCAAGAGTCTTAATGGACTGAGCCACCCAGGCGGCCCCTAACTATAATTAAGAAACAAAGACAAAGATTTAAAAGAGACAAAAAGACCTCCAAAGACCTACGCCCTTCATTTATTCAAAATCCTTTGATTTTCAACATGTGGGTCATCTGCATCTAGAAAAATCATCCAAAAGGTTACCCACCAAATTGTTCCATTGGTTTGCTCTAGGGTACTGGGATTCAGAATATTTTTTCCTGTTTCTTTTCTGCCTTCCTAATTTTTTTGAAAATGAAAATGTGTCTTTTAATTTTTAAAACTTTATGAAGAAGCGTTCATAGTTAAACATGGTTAGGTTTGGCAATTATGAAGAAAAGAAAAAGAGACCAGAGGAGAACTTAGGCTGATAATAAACTCCACAGCCTTATAATTTATAACCACCTATGGGAAGAGAAAGGAATAAGAATAAGTAGAAGTTAGGCCTGAAAACCTAAAGGGTTACCAGATACAAAATAATGCTTTGTAGGAACGAGAGAACAAGACGCGATCAGGGTTAGAGAGATTACAGACACACCAGAAGTTCTGTGGAGCAGGAGGTGCAGCTCGAGAGAAGACAAGGACGGAAGGTGGGAGCACTCCTGGACAGGCCCTTCCAGGCCTCACCCTGCAGCATCTTAGACTCATCGTTCACTGAAGAGGCCTCACGCCCTACACTTCGGTGGGGTCCTCACGACACCAGTCTTGAGATACACGAAGACTCGCGCATCAAGGTTTGAAATCAAGAAAAGCAGGAAGTACGTCTGCCGAAACATCACACTTTAAACATTAAACATCAACAATTTTTATTTATCAAAAGTAAATAAATAGATTTTTCGGGGGGGAGCCATCTCGAGCCCACTGCCGCCATCTTGCCACTTAACAAGATTTATGATGCTCCCTTACTCTCATCAAACCCTAGTGTGGAGTGAAACGCCCCCATTCTCTCGAATGTGCCTTTTTACAATGGGTTACTTTGAATGCAAAAATACAAGGTCCACAGAAAAAAGGAAAAAGCAGGAAGACTTCTGCTTATCCACATAATTTCTGATGCCTCTCTTCTCCATTCCACTTTTCTTTTTTAAAATTCTGAGCTGAAAGAAGTTTTGGTGAAAAAGGCCTAATGTTTCAAGTTTGAGAAGGAAAGCAATAAAAATTATGATACGGTACTTAACAGTTTTTCCAAAGTGCACTCAAGTACACTGTATTTCCTTTAATACTCAAAGGAATCTTTGGAATTCTTATTGTGCCCACCCTGCTGATGAGATGAGGAAATAGAAACCGGGAAGGATGGGGTGCCTGGGTGGCTCAGTCGGTTAAACGTCTGCCTTCAGTTCAGGTCCATGATCTTGGGGTTCTGGGATTGACTCTGCGTTGGGTTCCATGCTCAGCGGGGAGCCTGCTTTTCCCTCTCCTTCTGCCCCTGCCCCCTGCTCGTGCGCTCTCTGTCTCAAATAAATAAATAAAATCTAAAAAAAAGAAAAAAGAAACTGGGAAGGACGAGAGAACTGCCTGGCTTTGCAGCTGGGTCCTGGCGGAGCTTGAACCCAGAGCTTCTAACTCCTCAATGCTAGCACAGAGCCCACTCCATCTGCTTGCCCTGGGCAAGCAAAGCGCAGCTACAGGGGTAGTTCTGCAGATACGAACACGCACAGCTGGAGAAAGAGCTATCGCGTCGTGAAGGGTCACAATACAGAAAACTAGCGTCGGTCTATCTGCCTGGAGAAGATGCAATGAGCACGGTACCTATGTACCGAATGCACCTTCAATAAATGTCATATATGTTAGAGCATCTTTTACATAAATTAACAGCAATAAGGAAAAATATTAGTTGGACTATTAAAAAAAACACAAGCTGAAATTATTAGCCATTGCTGCTCGGCAACATTTTCATTTCATAACAATTTTAAAAGCACACAACATACACAGTAACAAAACTACCACTTTGTGCAGCAGGCAGGTGTCATAAGAACCATTCCTGAGTTTTGCTAACGTGTGTCTAAATTTTTATCTGTAACGCTCTACCTCCAGAGGGATGTTATAAAAATACACTTCTCGGGCGCCTGGGTGGCTCAGTTGGTTAAGCGACTGCCTTCGGCTCAGGTCATGATCCTGGAGTCCCGGGATCGAGTCCCACATCGGGCTCCCTGCTCAGCGGGGAGTCTGCTTCTCCCTCTGACCCTCTTCCCTCTCGTGCTCTCTTTCTCTCATTCTCTCTCTCTCAAATAAATAAAATCTTAAAAAAAAAAAAAAATACACTTCTCACCGACAAAGAAAAATGTGTGCAAAAAGCCTCTCAACTGTACTGGCGGAAGCAAAAATGTCCTTAAACAAAAAATAAGAACTTAAAAAAAACCAGAGATTGCCCAAAAGAGTGTTATCTGTCTACTTAAAACGCCAAAGAGAAATAGAAGTTAGATAAGATCACGAGAACTAAATGTTTTTCCGAGTGACCCACGAAAGGATTACCATTTTCTTCCAGTAAACACACTAAGGCATGGGTGTCAAAGTAGAGCTTCTTGTTCCCGCAAGAGGTGAACTCTCTCCTTTTGTGCTCCAGATCTCTCCTGCGCTCCAGCTGCAGGCTCCCAGCAGAGAGGCTCAGCTCTAGAACGTAAAGGACAATTGGGCTCAAAATAGGATTTGATGGTAAAGCAAAGCCATGAAGGAATACGGCATACCTCAAAAGCCGACCTGGTTGGGTCTTTATGACATGAAATTCACATACCATACAATTCACCCATTTCTTCACCCATTTAAGTGTTCAATTTGATTTTTACTGTAGAGTTCTGCAATCTTCTGCACAGTCAACTCTAGAACATGTTCATCATCCCAAAAAGAAACCCTATACCCTTTAGCTATCATGTCCCAATCTCCCTACTCCCTCCACCCCAGGCAACCGCTTACCCACTTTGTCTTTATGGATTTGCCTACTCTGTGCATTACATATGAATAGAATTGTAAGGGATGTGTATTGTGTGACTGTTTTTTTTCACTTAGGTGAGGTTTTCAAGGTTCATCCACCTTATAATTATGTGCACTTTATAGCTTTTTCTTGCTGAATCTGTTTTAGGAATATACCAATTTTTTCTTACCTACTGATCAGTTGAAGGACATCTGAGTTGTTTCCACTTCTTGGCTGCTATGAACAATGATGCTGGGAACATTTGTGTACGAGATTCTGTGTGAACAAGTTTTCAGTTCTCTTGGGTATATACCCAGGAACTGAATTGTTACATCATACAGTGACTGTGTTTATGAGGTTATGCCAGACTATCTTCCAAAGTGGCTACACCATTTTTCATTCCCACAGCAGTGTCTGAGGGTTCCAATTTCTCTGTGTTATCAACACTTATTGTCTTTTTTATTATAACCATCCTAGTGGGTATAAAGTGGCATCCCATTGCAATTTACTACTTATTTTTTAGGTATCTCTTCAACTAGGTATTTACTTATTTGTTCTCTATAATTAAGAGTGTTTCTTAGCTTGTCTCTCATCTTTTCCCTTTGTTCATGTGTTTCTTAAATCCCACATGAGTGAAATCATATGCTGTTTGTCTTTCTCTGATTGACTTATTTTGCTTAGCATAATACTCTCCAGCTCTACCACATCATTGCAAATAGCAAGATTTCATTCTTTTTTATCGCTGAATAATAGTGTGTGGTGTGTGTATATATATACATACATATATCACCTGTTCTTTATCCATTCATCTATCAATGGACACTTGGGCCGCTTCCATAATTTGGCTACTGTAAATAATGCTGCATTAAACACAGGGATAGCACACTGCAGTTTTGATTTGTACTTCCTTGATGCCTAATGATGTTGAGCGTCTTTTCACTGCTTATTGGCCATTTGTATATCTTTGGAGAAACATCTCTTCAGACCTTTTGCCCATTTAAAAAAAATTGGGTTATCTTTTGGGGTGCCTGGGTGGCACCTGAAACCAACTCTTGGTTTCAGCTCAGGTAGTGATCTCAGGGCTGTAAAACTGAGCCCCGCATCAGGCTCCAAGCTCAGGGCAGAGTCCGTTTAAGATTCTCTCTCCCTCTGCTCTTCCTGCTCATGCTCTAATAAATAAATAAATCTTTTAAAAAACTGGGTTATCTTTTTATTATTGAGTTGGTTGTTAATTCTTCATACATTTTAGGGTCACCTGGGTGGCTCAGTCGCTTGAGTGTCTGCCTTAGGCTCGGGTCATGATCCCAGAGTCCTGGGTCAGGCTTCCTGCTCAGCGGGGAGTCTGCTTCTCTGCCCTTCCCCTGGCTGGTGCTCTCTCTCACTCGCTTGCTCACTCTCTCTCTCTCAAATAAATAAATATTTAAAAAAAGAATTCTTTACATATTTTATTTTATTTTTATTTTTTAAAGGTTTTATTCATTTGAGAGAGCAAGAGAGCGTGAGAAAAGAAAGCACGAGAAGGGGGAGGCTCATAGGAAAAAGCAGACTCCTCACTGAGCGGGCAGCCCGACGCGGGACTCGATCCTGGAACTCCAGGATCATGACCTGAGCAGAAGGCAGACACTTAACTGACTGAGCCACCCAGGCGCCCTTCTTTATACATTTTAGATACAAGTTCCTTATTGTATATATAATTTGCAAATATTCTCTCCCATTCTGTGGGCAGGCTTTCACTTTCTTGATGGTGCCTTTTGAAGCACAGTAGCTTTTAATTTTAACGAAGTCCAATTTATTTATTTATTTTTGTTCCTTGGGCTTTTGGTGTCATATCTAAGAAACTACTGGCTAATTCCAGGCCACAAAGATTTACACCAATTTTTTTTTTTTAAGAGTTTTACAGTTTCAGCTCCTACTTTTAGGTCTCTGATCCATTTGAGTTAACTTTTATGTAGTGTGAGATGAGGGTTCGACTTCTTTTGCATGTGGACATCCAGTTGTTTCAGCATTATCTTGGAACTTGTCAAAAATCAGCTGACTGTAAATCATCTCTGGGTTCTCCATTCTATGCCACTGATTTATATCAGTCTTTATGCCAGTGACACATTTTCTTGATTACTTTTAGCTCTGTTTTAAGTTTTTGTATCAGGAAAGGAGTCTTCTAGTTTTATTCCTTTTCAAGATTGCATTGGCCATTCTGAGTCCCTTGCATTTCCATATGTATTTTAGGATCAGCTTATTAATTTCTACAGAGAAGCCACCTGAAACTTTGAGAGACTGTTTTAAATCTATAGATCAATTTGGGGGGAGTACAAAGTCTTCCAATCCATGAACATAGGATGTTTTTCCATTTATTTAGGTCTTTAATTCCTTTAATAATGTTATATAGGTTTCACATAGTACAGTTGACCCATGAACACAGGTTTAGACCACATGGGTCCACTTATACACGGATTTTTTACAGTACGGTATTTCCTCTTCTTTATGATTTTCTTAATGTTTTCTTTTCTCTCACTTCCATTATTCTAAGAATACAGAATATAATACATATAATATATAATATAAAATATGTGTTAAGTGACTGACTGTTATGATAAAGTTTCTGGCCAACAGTAAGCTATTAGTAGTTAAATTTTTGGGAAGTTAAAAGTTATACACAGATTTTCAACTGTGTAGGAGTTGGCACTCCTCAGCCCTGTGTTGTTCAAGGGTGGTTAATCACATGAGTTTTTTTGTTAAATTTATCCCTAAGTACTTTATTCTTTTTGATGCTACTATAAAGAGAATTGTTTTTTAGATTGTTCATTCTAGTGTGAAGGATTGCAACTGATTTTTGTACTTTTTGTTGTATTTTTTATGTTGATCTTGTACCTTGCAATCTTCTTGAACTTGTTAATTAGCTCTAAGGGTTTTTTAGTGAATTCCTCAGAGTTTTCTAAGTACAGGGTCATGTCACCTGTGAACAGTGATAGTTTTACTTCCTCCTTTTCATTGTCTTGCCCTGGTTAGAACTTCTAGTACAATGTTGCATGGCTGGTAATAGCAGACATCCTTGCTCCTGACCTTTGGAGGGAAAGCATTCATCCTTCACTATTAAGTATGATGTTAGCTGTGGGTGTTTCACAGATGTCCTTCATCAGTGAGGCAGTTCCCTTCTATTCCTAATCTGTCAAGTGCTTTTCATCATGAAGGGATGCTGAATTTTGCCAAATTCCTTTTCTTTGTCTTTTGAGATGATCACATGGTTTCTTTTTTTTTTAAAATATGGTGTGGTACAGGAATTGATTTTCAGATGTTAAATGAGCCTGTTGTTCCTGGGATAGAATCCCCTTTGGTCATGATGTATACTCCTTTTTTACATATTGCTGGATTTGATTTGCCGAGTATTTTGTTGAGGATTTTTGTCTCTATTCATAAGAGGTATTGGTCAATAGTTTTCCTTGTGATGTCTCTACAAAAGTCTACCTTTAGAGAGATGTGTTCTAACAATTTGTATGTTAACCTTTCCTATGAATTTCTGTGCATTTAGCCACAGATCCAACTCTTTTGTAAACTTGTTTCAAGGTGCTCATTTGAAGAAGGTAGCATGGTAATGGTTCTCTGGTTTTTGTATTTCATGAACCATAAAAATAGTTTAAAAAAAATATGTAACAACTGCAATGCCAACTAGTAATTCTGTCCAGAAAGGACATTTAAACACAATAGCTCCTTACTATTACAATCATACTATAAGACATTTGGACAGCAGAAGAAAAAAAGAGATGGACAATATAAAATAAAAAATTTTCATTTAGGGGCGCCTGGGTGGCTCAGTTGGTTAAGCGACTGCCTTCGGCTCAGGTCATGACCCTGGAGTCCCAGGATCAAGTCCCGCATCGGGCTCCATGCTCCGCGGGGAGTTCGCTTCTCCCTCCGACCCTCCCCACTCTCATGCTCTCTCTCTCTCTCTCAAATAAATAAATAAATCTTTAAAAAATTTTTTTCATTTAAATGTAATAAACATAGCTATATGAAAATTTTGCTACATATTTGTCCTTACTTTTCTATGATGCCAGGTTTGTAGAAGAGTGGTAGAAGAAAAAATAGTCACTACTAACTCAAAGTTTGAAAATCCCCTAAGGTAAATCCCCTAAGTAACCAGAAAGATACTTCAGCTAATCAGCTCCTATTGTCAATCCTTCACCTCTAAGCACTCTAAAGGAAACTGCATGTAAGCAAAAAATGTGACATGGACAGAATCCTACAGATCTGTTGTTTGTCTATAAGCCTACAGCAGTGGTTCCCACCTTGAAAAGAAGGTCACAGTCAGTGTCAAGGTAAGTATAAGAAATCCAATCATTTTGTACCAAGCGCTGTTTGCAGACTGACAAAATATAAAATGCAACAACTGTTATATGTATGTGTGAGTTAAATGGTTTAAAAAAAAAAAAGGCCCTTATATTCAGAGATCCGCTAGCCTACAGTATCAGTTCCTTGGCAAGGCACACAAATACAAAGCCTGTCCTAATTTAGCCCACACCTACCCTTTCAGCTTTCTTTCCAGCCACTTAAGTTATTCTGTGTCCTGTACTTGCATACCTTGGTACTCCATCCTTAAGTCTGGCTTGCCCCCCTTTTTCGACTGGCCAATTTTAAGCATCATTTTACCCCCCTTCATTTAATTTTACAATCTGCTAAGCAAACATTATGTTCCAGGCAGGGCATTATGCTACACTGAGTGGTTCGGTCTGCTAGTTCCACCCAGGTCAGAGGGCCGCCTTGATTGCTCCTTATCTGTGTGTGCAGCACAGTTCAGACAGCTCTATCGCAGTACTTACCATATTGTTTCCACATCTGTATCATCTACTAGTCCAAACATCCCAAGAGCATTCAGTCCTAGTCATTTTCACATTGTTAGCATCTAGCAGAGGGCCTGGCAGACTGCAGGCCAGAAATAATTTTGTAAGAGAACTCTGTAATCTGGATCATGAGATGGTCTAGAAAGAAAATTTGAAATCCACCTCCTCACCTATGATCTTCCCTTTTTACATAAATTAGCTCAGTTAAATCTGGTCCCTCTTTTTTCATTCTTTATCCCCAGTCCTGAGACAAAACTGGCCTCCAGGTGAAGAGACTCCAAATGTCTGCCTGATCACAGAACAGATCTGGCTTGAGAAACAGTGGTGGTGAATGAATGAATGAACGAATCTCTTAAGGGGCTCTCTAAAGGCTAACCCACCCATCTTTTTATTTTATTTATTTTATTATTTTTTTTTTTAAGATTTTATTTATTTATTTGAGAGAGAGAGAATGAGAGATAGAGAGCATGAGAGGGAAGAGGGTCAGAGGGAGAAGCAGACTCCCTGCCGAGCAGGGAGCCCGATGTGGGACTTGATCCCGGGACTCCAGGATCATGACCTGAGCCGAAGGCAGTCACTTAACCAACTGAGCCACCCAGGTGCCCCCCACCCATCTTTTTAAACTGCGCTCAACTGTCCCATGGATCAGAGAGCTTGAAAACATTTGAGTCTAGAACTGGCTGGTGAAGAGTGATGGGATTTTTCTAGTACCCAATTTCTTGTTTCTAAGAACAAATTAATCATTTGTGTGATTTAAAACGTATCTCTCTCTCTCTCTCACACACACACCACAACATATACATCCCAAAATTAAACTGTCATGACTGTTTTCTAAACAAGAGCTAATTCCAATTTAGATGCTGCAGATTTTTTTCTCATCCAAAACAACTGGAATTCATTTCAACTGCAAGCTTACTTCAACAAAATATGTACTGTCATGTGAAAAGTGGAGAAAAGCGCTGGCCACTTCTCACTTGGCAGGCCAACCCCTGCTGATGGAAGCTGAATGCCATCTTGCCTTCTGTCAAAGGGCGAAGCCTGAGGAGGAGCAATACTCTGGCATTTAGAACACCTCTGACTCATTTTTCCTCCTTTATTGTGACAACAAAGTAAGGCTCAAGAACTAGGAATTCCCACTAATAACCAGGAAGCAAATAAACTGAGCTATGTTAAAGTGCAATGCGTAATTCTCCTTTGGAGGGACCTTCAGGGTATCAAAAGGATATTAGAACACACACACAAAAGAAGCCCAAAGTTAGCCTTGAACGGAGAAGGAAACCAAGTACAAACTTGCTATTCATAACATCCTTAAGTCTCAGTAGCCCTACTGAGAACGCTGGCACCAAACAAATCACTAGGCTGGAAGTAAAGGAACAAAACTCATTGGCTGATGGTTGCTCCTTAACGGTGTCTTGGCTGTTTCCCCATATTTATGCATCCGTCCTCACTCTGTGAAGAATGAGATCCTTTGAGCCTAATCCAATAGTACCACCTTCCTGATAAAATCAGAAAACTCATGAGAAAGAATACTCTTCCCTTTTGCCCCATAGTCTTGAATGAGATGGAAATAAATCACAATTCACCAGCTTGTCAAAAAAAAAAAAAAGAAGAAGAGCGACAAAAGAACTGAAATAAAGATCAAAGTCATCTCTAACTCATAATTACTGCAGAACACTGGCAAAGTTCACCACTCATTCCCCACCCTTTGTATGCAAAGCTTCCTTCCTTCACTTTTTTGCCCTCCCAGTCAGTTTCTTCCCCAGCCGAGGGTATTTTTATATTTTAGAAACAGTCAACGTCTACTGGGCATTTCTATTAAGAAAAACATGAAAAAAAAAAAAAGCCATCAGTGTGGTTACTGATGGCTATTGATTGATATGACAGACCACCCAAAGTGATATTTTTGCCCTTTGCTGATAAAGATTACCCCAAATGATATTTTCATCAACAATGTGCTATCTAATAAATTGAGCCTGTTTCAGACTTCCCTAATCTTTATGCAGGGCAGTGACTGCTCTCACCTCCTTCAAGTATTTAATCAAATGCCACCTTCTCAGTATAAACTATTCTGCTAACCCCATTTCAATTCATTGCTGGCGGCCTCACTTCCTAACCCTTACCACCTCCATTTTTTTCCTACGGTATTTATCACTTCAGTACATAGATTATATATAAATCATATGCGTATATATAAATTATAACTATCTACCTACATCATCTCCTCTGCTACAGTGCAGGTCCGAGATTTTGCTAACTGATATATGCCAAGTACCCAGAAAAGCGCCAGCCAAGCACAGAACAGGCAACTAGTGTTCAATGAGTTAATAAAGCCACTAGCGTTGGAAGTGAAATTGTAGTTCCTAGAGCTTCGCTCCTCAATCTCGCAAAACCCCCGCAGCAGCCCGCGCCCGAGTGGCGACACGAGGGGCGCGTCACCGGCGCCCGCCCAGCGGCTCCACACCCCGGCGAGCACCAGCACCCCGCCCAGCGCGCACGGCCCTCCCGGCATCCCGGCCAACTGCGCTCCACACGCTTGGGCCCAGGACTCCGGGTCACCAGGGCGGGGGCAGACAGACCTTCGTTCCACGCCCTAGAGGAGCCCGGCGACCCAGGCTGACCCGACCTCTGGGTCGCCGAGCCTCCCCCACCCGCCCAGCCCGGAAGGTCAAAGCCCAAGCTGGCCCCGCCCCCTGCCCCACGAGGCGACCCCCTGCTCCCCGCCGGCCGCGCGGGCCTCACCTCTCCTGGACGAAGTGAGGGCGGCCACTCGGCCGCGGCACAGATGGAGGGCGCCGGCGGCCCAGGCGATGCCTGGGGCGAGGCCCGGCAGGTACCTCCCCGCGCCGCCGCGGCCGGCCGCGGGGACGGAGGGCCTCGGGCGCGAGCGCTCCGGGTCCGCGAGGTGTTTCCCCCAGCAGCAGCACCCAAGGGCGTCTGCATCGGAGAGCCTCGCGGAGCGCTCCGGGTCCGCGAGGGGCCGGCGCGGGGCGACGGCGGCCAGGCGCGGGGAGGGCACGAGCAGGAGGAGGAGCAGCGGGGAGGCACATGACGCCGGGCCACGAGAGCGCAGCGCCCCCAGACCCACAGACAGCGCTGACAGGCAGTGGCGCGCCGAGACGCGGCGGCCGCCCGGACTTCCGCAGCTGCCTGACGGCAGGAAGAGCAGAAACCGCCGGCGGCCCGGCGGACTCTTCGGCCTCCCGCCCGCGACGAAGCCGCAGTCCATCGCCACGGCGGTCACCGCCCCGGGCGCGCGCTCATGGTGCTCGCGCGCCGAGTCCGAAGACAGGAGCGAGCGTGGGCGGTGGCGCCGGGCCCGCCCTTTCCTGCCGGGCGGGCGGGGCTCCGGGCGCGCGCCGGGGCGGGGCCAGGCGGGGCGGGGCTCGGCCCCAGGCCCCACGAGAGAGGCCACCCCGGGTCATGAGCGCGTCTGGGACCCGCTCAGTGGAGTGGAGGCCGCGGGCACTCCCGGACCTGCGATGCCTTCTGGCTGCCACGATTTGCATATTCATTACACTGGTGTCCTTACGAAGACATTCATTACCCTGGCGGCTTTCACAGTCCCGAGAAAAGTCCCCGCACTACCAGGCTGCCCTAGATTTTACTATCCCCATCCGAAGTCCCCCAAGTGTGACGCTGGGGTGCATGTTAAGGAATTAACAGGGCCAACGGAGCGGCGTTTACATAATCAATACATTTTAAAGGCTAAACTTCAGGGGCGCCTGGGTGGCTCAGTTGGTTAAGCGACTGCCTTCGGTTCGGGTCATGATCCTGGAGTCCCGGAATCGAGTCCCATGTCGGGCTTCCTGCTCAGCAGGGAGTCTGTTTCTCCCTCTGACCCTCTTCCATCTCATGCTCTCTATCTCTCATTCTCTCTCAAATAAATAAATAAAATCTTAAAAAAAAAAAAAATAAAGGCTAAACTTCAGAGGTTTTGTTTCCGGTTTAGCGCACCAAGAAAGGAGAAAGTCTCAATCGGGAATTTAAAACGGGCATGGGTGTTAACTGAGACCTCTCAGCAGAAGATGTGAAACTAAGGGTGTTCACTTAAGGGTGCTTTTTTGAATGCCTGATGCGCCTCTCTCAGTTAATGGTCCATTGTGTGAACTCCGTAGATGTTCCTTGAGTGAAGGAATGAAATATGCACAGGACTGCAGGTTTGGAGGTAGAAGAAAAATGAGATTGTTCTTGTCCTTTAGGAGTTTTCTGATACACTTATATTTGCCCACATATGTGATGGAAGAAAAACATGTTATGAGCCATAAGAACTACAAAGTGCTAATTAGACAGAAGAGAGTGCATAAGGCTGTGGAAGAGATGTTTAAGCGGCTATCAAAATATAAAGAATTAGAAATATTAAGGTGCAAGTAGACACTTTCCTAAAAAGTAGGAGTTACACGTTTGTAGAACTGGTAGGGAAAGCAATTTAGCAATATGTATCAACAGCCTTTTGTGTTCATAAATTGATGGCATATGGTTTGTTTCCATTTTGGGGCTATTATGAATAAGGCTATTATGAACATTCTTGTATAGGTCTTTGTGTGGACATAAGTAATTTATCTCTCGTTAAAGAAAAAAATTATTCAATGACACTTGTTAATGCACAGTAAGGAAAACTTTATTCAAGGGTAGGGGACGATCTTGACAGGTATTGGGAGCACTCCGTGGAATTTTGCAGTGGGGGAGAGAGAGATTGGGCTCAACTTCAAATATAGCAGAGACAGGTGGGAAGCAGGGTGGGGGTCAGTGGGTGGGGAATTAACTTCGAGGAAACATCCGGACTAAGATTCTGGCTGGATTCTGGCTAAACCAACCTCACAGGATTCTTACTGAAGGCAGATCAGGGTGATCAGATACGGAGGTTGGGGGTCCTGGTTAATTGTTTGTGGGGAATTTTGCTAAAACTGGACCATGCCGAGAGGAACAGGGAAGTCCAAAAGTCAGGCCTAGTTGGAAAGTTCTGTAGAAACTGAGCAACGTTTGGTTAATGACAAAATCTTTGTCATCCTCTTGGGGAAGGATCTAGGAGTCAAATTGCTGATTCATATGTTAAGTGTAGTTTAAATTTTTTAAAATTTTACTTATTTAAGTAATCTCTGCACCCAACATGGGGCTCAAACTCCTGACCCTGAGATCAAGAGTTACAGGCTTTCCCAACTGAGCCAGCCAGGTGTCCTAAGTGTAGGTTAACTTTACCAAAAATGCCAAATTGTTTTCCAAAGTGATCATACCCCTTTATACTCTCACCAGCAGTAGCTGAATTTCAATTATTCCATCTCCTAGCCAAGTTATGGTATATTCTCTCCTAATGGGATAGTATCTCACTGTGATTTTAACATACGTTTCCCTGATGAATAATGATGTTGAGTACCTTTTCGTGTTTTTTTAAAAACGGTTATTGTCAGTATGAAATGCAGTCATAAATGTCAAGTGCTTAGCACAGTGCCTGGCATGCAGTTGAAGCCTAGTAAATGTCAGTACCAATTGTAGGTTGGATAAGACTTTTCCTTGGTTAAAACATGACACATGTTACTTGCTTTCCAAAGCATCTCCTTTTTTTTGGTCTCAGCACCCCATTTTTCCACGGGGAGACACTTGTCCCTGCTTTCGGTCCAGGTAGTTTGGGTTGGCCAACCTTTCTCCAGGCCACAGACATGGGCATGTCACCCAATGAGAGTCAGTGAGCTTTAAGACTAGGAGTTTTCTAGGAGTTATTGGGAAGGAGAAGGTCTTATTTTATGCTGATACCTAGGTGTAGGATGTTTTGAACCCTGAGCTCTTGGTGTTTCCATGTGGCCAGAGACTGAAGCCATTATGAAGAAAACAGACCTGAAAGATGAAGAGCAATGTCTTGGTTCTAGCTTAACCTGAAACTGACATTTTTATTTATATAAACCAACAAACATTTTGTTTAAACCAGTAGGGTTTGTGTCTCTTATTCTGACTAATGACATGAATCTAATGAAAGGAAAGACTAGATACAGAGATCTAATGGCCATATAAAAAAGAAGTATCAACATATTGAGGCTTCAGGCGAGGGCCAAACAACCTGGAAGGTTCAGGACTTTCTGGCAAAGTTGAATGGGAGAATATACTTAAACCTGGAGCCAACGTGGTGCCCTCTGACTCTCACCCCACATCTAGACTTGGGGACCTTCCATGAGCAGATTTGGGTTCACAGAACAGAACCTCTGAGACACTACAGCTGTGAGAACTCTAGGTGGGCCTCACATACTCTGAGGTGCCAGGAGAGAATAGAGGAATGATGGCCAGAGCTGTCTCTGGAAGAGGCCCTGGGCCTGCCTTATGTGTAGTTACGTGGTGGTGACAGAAAGATCCAGGGCTCATTGTCTTGGTGCAAGCAAATCAAAGACAGAAGAAAGGAGCTGGAGTGTGTGACTGTGACTTTTAACATAATGACCCCTTTTACAAGTAAACACTGACCAGGAGAGATCAGCTTCCACTAATCAGATTAGCTCTTCTCCCTAATGGAAGAGTAGTAAAGGGTGAGGAGAGGATTCTGGTTCTAGGTAAGATGGAGTAAGCACACGCCATTCCATCTCTTCAACTCAATGCAGCTCTAAAATCTGGATAGAAAGCATAGAGCAGGTATTTGAGGACTCTGAGAACTGAATAGTAGCAAGCAGATCAGTGAAGACAAAAATTCAAAGTACCACCAAACTGATGTTCAGTTCACAGAATTTTTTCCCCTGTGGCATCCTTCTAGCCTTTACTGTCAACCCAGAATCCTATCTCCAGCAAACATTGCATTAGGAATGAAGATGGAATAAAAATGTTCTCAGATGAAGGAAATCTAAGACGATTTTTTTTTTTTTTTTTTGCCAGCAGTCTTGTTCTAAAAGAATTGCTAAAGGAAATTCACTAGGTAGAAGGGAAATGATACCAAAAGGAAGGTTGGAACATCAGGAATGAAGGAAGAGCAATAGAAATAGTAAATACCTAGGTAAATATAATACACTTTTCCTCTTTAAAATATGCTTAATGGTTGAAAGCAAAAATTATAACAGTGTCTGATGGAGTTTTCAGTGTTTGTGGAGATAAGGTATAACATAAGTACAAAATAAAGGGGCAAGAATAAAGAGATTTATATGGTGGTAAGCTTTCTACATTGCACTTCAAGTGCTAAATATTGATGCCAAATGGACTAGAAAAGTTAATATGGATATTGTAATGCCTAGAGCAACCCATAAACATATTATTCAAAGAAATAGAGTTAAAATACACAATAGATAAAATGTAATAATAAAAAATGTTCAAATAACTCAAAAAGAGACAGGAGAAGAGAAATAGAAAATTAAAAAAAAGATGGAACCAACTAAAAGCAAATAAGGAAATGGTAGATCTAAATCTAAACATAGCAATAATTACACTAAATGTAAATGATATAAACCAGGGGTCAACATAGTTTTTAAAAAGGACAGATAGTAAATATTTTTGACTTTATGGGCCACATACAATCTCTGTGGCATGTTCTTCTTCTCTGAAAACAGGTGGTGGGCTGGACCTGGCCCAGGGGCCATTGTTTGCCAACCTCTGGCCTAAGCACACCAATGAAAAGACAGAGATTATTGGATGAATTAAAAAGTAAAAGAAAAAACAGTGACCCAACTACACAGTTTACAAGAAACTCATTTCTGTTAGAAGGATATAAGTAGGTTGGAGAGGTAAGGAAAGAGGGGATGCTCCTCCTTAGTACTTCCCTGGGAGGTAAAAATCCCAATGAACGTACCTTCTAATGTGTGCTGAGATGGGAACTTGACAGAAAGAGAGGGAGTTCTCCTTGCTATTTCCTTCCTTTTCCCTTTTAGGGAAGCCAGATTTCTGACAATTTCAGAGTTTAAGAACATAGCCCTGAAACCGAAAGTGAAAGATGGCTCTGAGTTATCATCCATTACCCCGATCAACCCTGAGCAATTTATGCCACACAAGGGCCTTTGGACACTCATTCTGTGCCCATTTACTCTTAAATTACATATGATATTAAATACATTAGCCCCTCCCACAATCATATCAGGTAAGAAACAGTAAGTTAAAGGGGAGGAGAAATAAGAAACTAATGTATAAGGTAGAGTAAGGAAGGTATGTGACAGTGATGTGGGAAACAAAGGCAGAAGGAAATGTAGATAAAATTAAATGCCCTTAAAACCTGCTGCCCATTGACAAATACTTGAGGCGGGCAGAGTATAAAGTTCCTCCCCGAAGTTC